GGGCCACATAACATTTCCTCTTCCTTTTTCCCACGGCAGCCCAACCAGGGCTTGTTGTTATTTCATTTTGGCCAATCCATGATCACACACATATACACACACACACGCACGTACACCAATACCCTTACCCTTCCCCTCTTTCTCGATTCTTTTCTGTCCGTACACCCAAAACCCTCACACACACACACACACACACACACACCCACTTTCATCAAAATACCTTAGATCGAACATAAACTTGTCACCATCATATTCCTCGTGACCTCACGAGTCTAACCATAATATTAGTTCGAAGATTAGACGTCGAGAACTCGGGAAACCCAAGCTCCGGCGAGGGGTCCAATTTCTTCTGACGTGATCACGAAGGATTTATTTGGTTTTGAGACTTAAGAAGGTACTCATCTAACATCCTAGTATTTTGGAACAATTTTGGAGTGGTTTGAACGTCGGAACACTCGGGGTTCACGAAGTATTTTGGTACTCATCTAACATCCCTAGTATTTTAGGACCCCTAGCAAGTAAGGTTATGTTCTACTATTTGAGCGCTTCAAATTCATATCAAACTTATGATTTTTGGTGGAGAAATAACAAAGATATTGAAGTTTGAAATTTCTCCAGTTTCCGGCATAACAGACGGCGGCCGGCAGCGGCTCCGGCAAAGCCACTTGAGAAGGAAGCGAATATTCGGTCAACTTTGATGGAATATATTGTCGGTGTCAGGTAACTCCGTTAGTTTTTAAATGGAATCTTCTACTATTTAACAAAATATTCCCTAACGTTGATAGGGATTCAGTCAGTGTGCCAGGCACATGCCTGCACGTGGCTAGCGTGTGTGACGTTCAAATTTTTTCTAAAAATATGGGGGTGTTCGTATTGTCGAGTAGATCATTTTGGTATATTCAAACGCCTCATTTGAGCAACGTATGAGAAGTTATTCCTAAGGTTTGTGTATGTGCTTTAAAATTTATGTAAAATTAGTTATTTCGCATATAGGTGAGACGTACCCTGAGGATAAGCATGGACAAGCGAAGCTAGGGGGCTATGATCCTGCTACTTACTAGTGAGTGGGCATTTGCTTTCTATATATATATGTGTGTGTGTGTGTGTGTATAATATGGTTTTCACATTTTTATTATTTTTATTATTACTTTTTATTTTTCAAAATTTTTTATTACACATTTAATTAAACGTGGCATAACCTAAGGCGGTCACATGTATAATTTGACGTAGCAATGGGGTGGAGGAAAATGCAGTCCCACGATGAATGTTTAAAATGAGGCTAAATTTTAGCCACCCACGTGGTAAATCTAGTGGTGTGCATTGGAAAGGAGAAGGGGGAGGGGGGGGGGGGATTTTACTTTAGGGTTTGGTTTTGGCTTAGAGATCCAATCATAGCTTACTTGTCTGAACTAGGTCGTTTCTTCTAGGACGGTTTTTTATCTATGGTTTATTATCATAACGTTTCACAACCCGTCATCATATGTGTAATAAACTGACGGCTGGAGGTTGTACCCTCTTTTTGCCATGTTTGGCTGTCCATTATCAATTAAGGAGGCTTTTCATTTCCTCCAGGCACATGTATTTTGCCACGTTTGGCTGGCCATTATCAATTAAGGAGGCTTTTCATTTCCCCTAGGCGCATGTTGGGGACTCTAAGTTTGCATGCACATGTAACTGCAATATTTGGAATCATTATCTTGTTGGTTATGTTCTGCATGTCACCTTAATCCTCTATTTATAGGTGGTCTTAATTGTCCATGGCATAATCTCTTTGCTCTCTCTTCATTCAAACCAATTACTGAAAATTTCCACCTATTCTAGGACTTACTCAATGGCTCACAACTTCCCAGTTCTTGCAACTTCTTCCCGCCCTAGGAGATCAATCTCCTTACTGAAGCTTCCATCATGAGCAAACCCATTCCCAGTCCATAACCGTGGGGAATTGACAATTGTTGTCAAAAAAGACAACTGTAAGTTCACCTTGAAATTGGGTGTTACAAGGATTGACACCAACAAGGTCTCCTGATGTGAAAATTAACTTGACACACAAATTAAACCCTATTTGTGACAATTGTAGTAGAGATGTAAGTAGGGATCGTTCTAGACCGGGGATTAACTAGGGATGCTAATCTATGTAAATAAGACTCAAAAACACTAAACTAGACTCTATGGACTCAAAACTAACTTTAGACACTTAAAACAGCAACCAATACTCAAAAAGACTCACTTTTAGACTCAATAAAGGTTTTGGACGAAAATAGGACTTGACTAGACTCAAAAGACTCAAGGAAAACAAGTTTTGACTCAAATATGAAGACTAAATAACATGGGGATTGTTTTTGACGAATTTTAGACTCAAAACAAAAACTTTATAGAAAACACTTTTGAAAAACGAATTTAGGTAAAATAAATGGGTGGAAGGCTAGTTAGAGGGTCCTTCTCCACACATGATATATGCATACGAACCAATGTCCAGTTATTACTCCTTTAGACTATGAATGACAACGCCCCAAATTAGTTGCATCGCACAACTAACCCTCAAGTTTTCCTTATTTCATTGAATTAGATGGAATACGCATCTAAACCAAACTATCTTTTTCAAGTTCTTTATATGAGACGCATAACAAAGATACATATCAAAAGTCATTAAGTTTTGTGAAAACTATAAGCATTGACAAGGCATTCATCACTATGAAACACATGAGACTCATACCAAGGATTTACTTGACGCGATTGTGACTAGCAACCTCCACTACTTTTGAATATAAGTGAATAACAATTATGTGAAACCCCCCTATACTCTAGCATCAAGTTTATGCATGCAACTTAAGTGTTAACCCCCAACCCACATACATAAACCAGTTTTAATAACTTAGATAAGCAAATCACATTCATGCCTTAAGAAATAATAACCGGACGTAATCAATTCATCTAAAACATATAATCATGGCTTCAAATTCTCCTCTAACTAAAAAGAAGTTAGTTCCTCATGTTCGCAAAACAAAGATAATTAAATTTAAACATTGAACTAAGACTAAGGATAGAATACACCTAGAAACTCTCCACACTCCAAGGGCAGATTTCGAACCCTCCTTGGATGGCAGATTGCACAAGTCCTCCTCTCCTTGCTTCCTTGCTTGCGGCACTAGGGTGGTGTAGAATGGATTGTGGTGTTTGATGGCTGAAAGTTTGAATGAATGAATGAGTGAGTGGATAGATTAAATGGTGAGGCATTGGCTGTTTATATAGGCTAATTATGCACACTTAGTGAAGGACAAGGATTGCACAATCCCATGGAAAAAGGGTTAAGTCTTTGTAGAAACCAAAAGGGAAAGGGATAGGGAATTTTCGCCAGAAATTAAGGGCTTCTAGAAACTAAGTATTTTTTGGCAGAATTTAGACTTCTAGAATGGGTAAAGGGTAGATTTCTGGACCTAAATGGATAAGGACTCAAGATATAGGTGCAGAGGAAGGATTGCAACTCCTAAACCTGATTTGGATAGGATAGAATAGGATAATGTTAGAGTTAGGATAGGATAAGGTTTCTAGGATAGGATAAGATAAGGTTGGATAAGGTTCCTTGTTTCTTGCTTCTTCCTTATCTTCATTGCATTAGGACTTCTTCCACCAGATATGTAGCCTTTCCTAGCCCTTCTTGACTTCAATTTCGTCCATCCTCTTTGCTCCATGGTTAAGCTATCCAATCCATGCCCAAAAATGCTCCAAATAGCCTAAAAATGCACTTTCTTGCTCCTTTTGCCATTAGGACCTAAAAACATACGAAAATAACTTAAAAGACTGAAATAAATAGTAATTAACTTCATAAATGCAAGGAAACAACATAACTAAGTAGCATAAATATGCTCCTATCATCTCCACCATGAACATCTCCCATATAAGTACAGTGTGTTGATCGGCAAGATGTTTGGTTCCCCCAACTTCTTCTTCTTCCTCCTCATCTCCCACACCATCCCCCTCAACTTTACCTCTACCTCTCCTGAAGGCAACGAACGATAGGCTGTCATGAAGTTGTTCAAATGAAATGGAACCCCATGCAAAGTTGTTAAACCTATCCATATCCTCCAAGAGGTGGAGGTACTCCAGATTCATAGCGACATTGGTCTTTGCCTCATCAATATAACCTCGGCAAAGTATATTAGGCCTAGCTTGAAGGCATCCTCCTTGTTCTTGCACTCCTTAAACACCCATTCAACCTCCCTGCAAGTCACAAATATTTTTTTGATCACTTTCTTTGCGGCGACCTTGGCTTTACCTTTGCCCTTTTCTTTCCTCCCCTTGCTACTTTTACCTGCCAACCCTAATTTCTCAGAAAAAGACTCCCTCAGCAGCCTAATCCTTTCTAGCTCAACCTCTACATCAACAGGTGAGCCCCTCTAGGTCTTTAATCCCTTGGTTTGCCACTCCACGCATTGACAACTCATGGACCAATTGCCCACTAAAGGCCAATAGATCCACATGCTCAAGGTGACCAAAGCAAGTGGCCCTAAAGGTGGCAAAGCGGGAGATGAAGAGTTTTGGGAGGAGAAGACAAATTTAAGCAGGTTACTGTTGATGTCGGGGAGGGGGAGAATTTAAATCCCCAAATTTTTGAAATACGCCGGGTGCTGTTTTCATTTAGTGACGAGCCATTGATGACCTAATTTCACATTAAGCTCATTTTGATAGACTATTTTTCAGCTGTTCATATTTGATCCATCGGACCGCATTCTGTTTATACCTAAGGTCAGCAACATGCGGTTCGCACCTTAGAAAACGCAAAAGTGAGCTACGTGGCAAACAAATTTAATTGAAAAATAAGCTTGGTTCAGTTCGGACCTTATAGAGAGCGGGTACAGAAGCGAAATGTTCTAAAACGGTTAAATTGAAACCCAAAAAATACCTAAAAGAAATCAAACAGATCGTTTTTGTTCCGATTAGGACTGGGTTAGGTTTTAGTTCTCGGTCTATTATGCGCAGGCCTACACGCCAGGCCAGATCAGTGTGTAAAAAGGAGAATGACTTGTATAGCCCGGGGGAACACTGGCGGTGTACCGTACTGGTGCCACACAAGTTGGTCCCTGTTAAATGGTATCCCCAGAGCTCATATGCAAACAATCTGCTTTACAGACCACAGATGGTGCATTTAGCAAAAGATGGTGCATTTTAGATTTGCTAGACAAGAACAATAAAATGAAAAGGCTTCTTTTCTAAAGGAATGTCTTGCGACTCATCCAGTATTACTCATGATCCATTCGACTTCCTGCCTCATGTTGCTCTCCAAAGGCAACGAGTCTCCGTTACCGAAGAAGGGCCTTTGTCTTTTCTTCATAGCAGCAGCCAGTGAACTCATATCCATTGGCAAAACAGGGCTTCCGGTTGATGTCAAGCAGCTATCAACAGAGCAGTTGCCGAGGCAAACCATTACATTGGAGGCATCTCTGTTCTCTAGAGTGGCAGCAAGTTCCGACAATGAAGGCATTTTTGCAGAATGAAGTAGGACTATCCCTTCAGAGTCATTGGAAACCCTAATAGCTAGTTCAGAGAGTTCCTCCTTAGCAGCTTCAAGCCCAGTGGCCGAGGCAGCCTGGTCTTTCAGAGCCTTACAAGCTTTCTCAAGTATAGACTGAAGATACTTGCTCTGTGCTTCAATTCGAAGTTGAAGACGACACTGCACCTGCTTACACTATAGCCATTAGAAATTGGCACTCAATAATCACAACGAATTTAGCATACTGCTTGAAGGGGAATAACCAAGATTATATAATTACACCGGAGGTCTAAGAGTATTTTATGTCAAGCTTGCAAATGGATTTATCTCGTAAGCGTACAGGTAAAACCACCAAGGCAATCTGAAATATTGTGTTTCATTATAAAAAAGGCTATTCTCTAAAGGGATGAATATACATTCCAAGTCAACTATGTCAGCTGGTGCTTAGTCTTTAGTCCATCTATTGTACAGCTTTCTAATTGTATTTTTCTGTTTCATTAATTTAGTTAGTTTGTCACTAATTGCAGTTAAGCTCTCAGCATATAAACCACAGTGTAATACAGAAACCACATTTTCTCGCCAGTAGCTCCTGAATTCTGACCTGCTGTTATATTTACAAGTTGATGTGGTTCGTGCATGCTGTAAAAGAACTATGCAATTGTTCAAGGTAATGAAAACCCCGTAAGCTGCATATTAGTAGCTAAACAAGCCACAAAAGAGACTAACCTCCAGCTGCTCATGCAGTCTCCGTTGGACTTCCATTTGTACTCGCAAAGCCTCAGTAACCTGGAAGCCACTGTTTGAAAGATGAAAAGCAACAATTACATGGACATATATAGATTAACATTAGAAGTAATTTGTAATAGAGGAGTAATAAGTGAAAGATCAAATACTCATTCAAATCTTCCGCAATCACTCTTGATGAGGTTGCCGAGGATGAACCAGTGTCCTGGCTATCAGCAATACAAGAAGCTGCAATCCCTACATATTATTACATAACTAATAAGTATTCCAAAATCAACAGCTTATCACCAGGATCTTTCAGGCATGCAAACTATACAACACTACTTGCTTGAGCAATCAGAATGTGTACAAACACACGTCTTTCACCAGCAGATGTCACGGTTCACAGTTATGAATTTGGTTGTTCAAAGATTTATAATGATAGCACAGCACTCCAAGAAAATGAAAAAATGGTGGCCCATGGAGTTTAGAACAAATGATTTAGAAAAAGTGGTAAACCAGACTACGCAACAGAAAACACGAGATGGGAGATGCCAAGATGAAAAAGGAAAGAAAAGAGAATGGCCACAGCCTGCTGAAAATAGTAATATCTTTGCACTGATTGATTGTATTAAAACAACTTACAGCAAACATATAAAATGAAAATTGAAAATGGGCTGATTATGTTGGATCGTTTCAGCTTTCAGGTAGTATTTGTGATTTTCCTGCCCTTTAATAACAGATCATACAAAAGACACAGAAACAGTACAGGGTAGTTAATAATACAATGTTCCAGCTCTTATTTTTAAGTGTCTGAAGTTACCATCCTTGGAGATTTCAGCTGAATCTTTGCATGATTGCTTCCCCAATCGATATTTCTGCAAGCATAGATCATCAATTAAACACAGAAAATTTGGAAATGGTATATATGTTAGATTAACCAAAAATACAATAAAATAATTAGGGTAAGAAATACAAATGCTATACTAATCAGTTAATTGGTCTTTTATGTCTAAAATACAGGTTACCTCCGTCCCACCTCCCTCCTCCCTCTCCTTTCCCTCTCTCTCAACAATTTCAACTCTAGCTCACCACAAATTAGATAATGGGAAAGAAAAACAAACCTGAAGATGCGATTTCAAGTGATAAAGGGTAAGGCCTTTAACTCCCATTGTTCTCATAATGGTCTTAGGTGTTGCTTCTGCAATAAGAAAGCATTTAAAAACAGTAATAATAAGGAAGCAAGCTACCCCATGACATACAGCTTCTGACCAAAACATCAACGAAACTAAGAAATGAAACATAAATTGAATGAAATGGGACTCAAGGCTATACAGATTGGCAAGCAACAAGAAAGAAAATCCTGAATATAAGCTGAACTCTGATTTATAATAAGCAATGAAGTTTGGTCCACAGATATGCCTTAGTCAAATGAGACAACAGTGACTACCCTCCTAGTAAGATGTAAGGTACTTAAGTGAAAAGTGGAACTTCTGCAAGCATTATGAATCTATCATGGTGTTAGAGAAAATAAATTAGAGCATCTCCAATGGGCTCCCTAAATGAGCTCCTAAATAAATTTTAGAGAGGATTTGGAAAAATCCATCTCCAATCACACTATCTATCCACTTCCAAGATAGGGATTCTCATAGGAGCTCCTAAATCTAGGGAGTGAGAGCATCTCCAATGGGCTCCCTAAATGAGCACTTAGCTAAAATTTAGGGAGGATTTGGAAGAATCCATCTCCAATCACACTATCTATCCACCTCCTAAGATTGGGTTTCTCCTAGGAGCTCCTAAATCTGGGGAGTGAGAAAGGAGCTCCTAGCATTAATTACTAAAATTAGAAAGGAGCTCCTAGCATTAATTACTAAAATTTTAATGATATTTTAAATAATAACTCTATTCCTAATGGTCCACAATCAATATAACTCCCTAAATTAGAGAGTGATTGGAGTAAAACTTTTCTAGGGAGCTCCTAAATTAGCATTCTAGTATTTTTAAACGAAAATTTAATTAAAAATTAGAGAGCATGGCTGGAGATGCTCTAGAAAACGAGCTCCTAGCATTAATTACCAATATTTTAATAAAATTTTAAATAAAAACTCTATTCCTATTGGTCCACAATCATTATGACCCCCTAAACTAGAGAGTGATTGGAGTAGAATTGTTTTAGGGAGCTCCTAAAGTAACTTTATGGTCTTTTTAGCTAAAATTTAACTGAAAAATAGAGAGCATGATTGGAGATGCTCTAAGGTGCTATTGGAAGCAAGAATGAGAAAGCTCCTATTCAAGGTGGAGATAAAAAGCAACCGAGGACGGTATTACTTCATTGTTAGAGATAGATGTGGTGGTTCGAGTTATTTCACGGAATAACACTCGTATATATTGAGCTCATAATGGCACCTCGCAATTCAAAAGTCTCTCTACGGCTGAACAATGAGCGTGTTCTTAGGCCATCATAGAAACATAGATAGGGTCGACAAGGGAACGAACAACGAAACTTTACGACAGCTTTTTCACACACGTTCACTTGCATCACATACACAAGTGCTCTTTGAACCGTGCACCTCATTTCGGTCCTTTTCAAAGTCCTTCCAGTGTCTAGCATCTTCCACTCCTAGTTATCCCACCGACTCCAGATATTTCAGTCACTTCCTCAGTAGCTGGGGTTGACTATGAGTTGTAGTCTTTTCTATGACTTCTTTCTAGTGTTCTTTATACGGGACAGTTTTTTTGTTTAATCCTTTTTAGGGATAAAGTGCCAGGGAGTTCTCTGGGAGCATAAGGTGAGGACCCTAGTTTAGGCTCCACTTGACTTCCATTAGACTGGATTCAAAGAGGCTTTGGTGTTCCATAATAAACCTGAACTTGTAGCTCCGTCAGCCGGCTCCATCAACTGTGCTGTCAGAAACTGGAACTTTCCTCTATACTCTCTATTTCTAGCCCGCCCCCACCCCCCACCCCCGCGGGTGTGGTGTGGTAATTAACAGATTTAGGGGAGGAGAACAACTTCATTACTGGTGGTATCTTCACGAGGGATTGGAAAAGCTATTTCTCTAACCAGAACTTTCGGGGTTCCGTAGAGAGGAGATAGAAAAAAAGTCTTTTAAAGAGGGCAGCAGAAGCGAAGTAGAGGAGACCGGAAACTACTTAGCTGTCAACGACGTCCGCTTTCTTGGGTACACCTTCGAAACATGAGACTAAAGACCTTTCTTGAGGCGCTTTAAGAAAAGAAGCCAAGCCTCGCGAACATACATGCACCTTCTTTGAAACAGGCTGTGCCTCATCCCGATTCTTCCAAAGAGAAAAGATTGATGAACGAAACGAAGCAGTGCCTTTTCCATCCCCGACTGAAAGGGAGAGGGCTTCTCGCCTGATCCGAATAATCATATATAGTATACTACTTTTCTTAACCTTAACCCTAAGTACAACAAAGCAGCCTCAATGCAGCACTATTACTAACACTAATACTTGTTGACCTCCCTTAAACTGTTGGAACATAAGCAGGTTTCTACACCCCGGGTATGTAAGAGCAGCTCAATACAGGGCTCCGCCTCAGTTGGAGCATTTGAGTCAAGGTGGAGATTTGTTAGAAAATGATTCAAGGTCCTATTTGGTTTAGTTTCCTCTTTAGGATCCCCTAGATAGACTACATTGACTAGGACACATAAAGAAGTTTCCTTCCTTAAGTAAGCTTTCCTGCACCTAATTCGTTTAGGATATTCCTCTAAATCTATATCAAGGCCCTTATGTGCCCCTAACAGTTTACAAGATAGTGAGGGGAGCAACAGGGGAGTGGGAGAAAATTGAGAGCTTGTGTGTATTGGGATTTGGATTCAAAATTTGTAAGGTTGAGAGTTTGGATGTAAGCAACTTTCCCAACCACTTAAAATGTTGTGTACTCTCTCATTCTTCTCTTCGCTTAATTGGATATTACAACTGTGTAATTATGTCATTTGTCATTCAAATTCATTAGAAGAGCTTGTCAAATACCATTAACCACGAAGCAAGATGACTGATATTTGAAAATAATGAATGCAATGATTGTAGTGATCGATCTCATGAATGATAAATAACCTCATGACTACCAAAATATGATTCCAACCACCCTAATCACCCCAAAACCCAACAAAGACAGTAAGAACACCCCACAAATCACTCCAATTCAGCATGACACTAAATTATCAAAATTATCCCACCAACGTAACCGTAACCAAGTCAATGGAGGGAAAGAAGTAAAATTTCAAATAAAAGTAGAATATTCCAACAAAATATCTCCCCTTTAACGTAATAAAGAAACACAGAACAAATGAGACACATTAAAAGCAGCAATAGTTAAAAGAACAAAAACCCAATAACCAAATAACAATTCAGACCAACATAAAATCCCAGAAACCACAAATATGCAAACTTCAGAGCTGCACAACCAATATTTCTTTAACAAACAAGTAAAGAAGCAATACTCACTGTCAGGGCCACCAAGTTGAGTCACAGCATCCACAAACCTATCATGGAGCTCCGCCGTCCACCGGAGCCGGGGCTTTGGATCGGTAGTCAGAACCAAGCAACCATCACCCGGCAGGTTGGAACCGTCCAACGACCCACCATAGTTTTCATGCCCACCAGCACTCCCATCCAGCGGCAGAGAATGGATAGAAGAGTACATTCTCAACCTTCTCCTGAAAAAACAAAAACCCACAAAATATTTCTTCAGAAAGTGAACGAATTGAGGACCCGGAACTGTTTTCAGACCCGTTTGGAAAGATGGGTACCTGGGATTCAGGGGTTGGAGCCCCGAAAATGCAAAGAAGGAGAGGAGAAATCAGTGGGTTCGGAGGAATGGAGGTTGGAGCTTGAGTCTGGGAGAGTGGGAATGGGAATAGGCAAGCAAGACTGAGCTGATGAGCTCAGCTTAGCTTTTGGACAGCGATGTCCTGGAGTGTCCAGGGATGGAAAAAACAAAAAACCGAAAATTCTAAACCGAACCAAAAAAATGTCGAAACTGAACGGAAAAAATCTAAAACTGAAAATCTCAAAAATTTCAATACCCAATAACGAGCTGATCCTGAAAATTCAATATGGGAATCGATCTCATATTTACATTTGTTCAGTAATCCTGAACCGAACTGAAATAAAAAAGTATATATATTATTTAATTTTAAATATATATTTGCTGTCTGTGTTAATTTATATGGTTATGTTTGCTGTCTTTGTTTGCTATGAAAAATTACTTTATATTTGAAAGGCTTTTTAGCTAAAATGGTCCATGAGATTTGCATAACACATCATTTTGGTCCCTGAGATTGAAAATCAATAGAAATGGTCCCTAAGATTGTCCACCATCCATTATTTTGGTCATTTCGTTAAAAACTTTGTTAAGTGTCCCTGAGCTCTTGGCCGGAAGTTTAGGCAATTTTCAAAGCTTCATAACTCAATTGTTTCTTGATCAAATTTGACCCATAATATATCAAAATGAAGATAGGAAAGTGTAGAACAAGATTATACCTATTTGGAAGCCTAATGGTTGCCGAAGATGGCCGGAAAATAGCCTGAAAGGTGACTGATCCGCGGGAAAACTGGAAAACTTGCTGGAAACTAGGTAAACTTTAAACGTTCATAACTTCTTCAATACTCAACGAAATCAAGTGATTCATAAATGAAAAGCATACTTCTTAATGAGACAAAGAGAATGGTACATTTCTCGATGGCTAATTCGCCATGGTTTGGATGGAAAATGGCTCGAAAGTAGCTAACTTGAGACCAAAACAGCCACTTTCAAGCTGTTTTCCAGCCAAACCACGACCATTTAGCCGTTGAGAAAGGTACTATTCTTTTCGTCTATTCTCTTCTTTCCGTCAAGAAGTATGATTTTCGTTTTTGAATAACTCAATTTTGTTGAGTATTGAAGAAGTTACGAACGTTTAAAGTTTACCCAGTTTCCGGCGAGTTTTCCAGTTTTCCCGCGGGCCAGTCACCTTTCAGGCTATTTTCTGGCCATCTCTGGCAACCATTTGAAGGAAATTATTTGTCTTAGCTAAAAATATGTAAGAACATCTGAACACAAAAAGCAAACTATTAACACTTTAAAGTAGGCATGCATTTAAAAACAATTATAAAACCCATGACTTTCAAAGCCTAGGGAATGGTAAACCACAAGACCCTTTAACAACATTAAAGAGAAGAAAGGATTTTGAGATTCAGTACCCTTGAAGCTCATCCTTGTTTACGCAAGGGATTCACCCAAGTGGAGGGCCTTCAAGTCACCTCCTAGCTCCTTAGATCTTCCTTGTGATTTTCTTCCCTTTTGATACTCCTTTGCTCCTTGAGGATGTGAGGAAAGGAACTCCAAAAATACCAAAAGTTTGGTACCTCAAAGTCTCCACACCAAAGATGTTGGTGTGAAGATGAAATGGATTACCTACAGGAAGTTGGATGCTAGTGAACTCCCCTAGGAAGGCCGGCCTCTATAGAGAAAAAAAAGGAGAAAAAATTTCTCTTCTTTGCCTCAAGAAAACCCAAGTGAGAGAATGGCTATAAAGATGCCCTTATACCACCTCACATGTGAGTGGCAAACTTGCAATTAACCCAAGTTTGCTACCACTCACCCTATGGCTGGTTTTGATTTTGTATTTGGGTTAATTTCCATTTAGTTTTAGTTGTCACACAACTTAAACTCAATAGGTCTTGTGGACCAAAACTATTTGGGCCACAAGACCCAAAACTAACTTGAAAGCCCAATACGAACCTTTTGTATAATTAATTAATCTTGACCATTCTTAATTTAACCATTTAATTGCTTATCCATCTCGTTTATATTTCTTCACTTTTATCCTTACTCGGTGTACGATCCATTAGGTTCCAATTAGCAAGGCAGTGGATGATTGTTACTCTTAACGATCGATTGTGAATTGAAACTACATTTCAATTCTCCCCTTGATGAAGATTAGTGTTTCCTAATCTTCAGGGCTTCCACAAACCATGAGTGACACCTAGCAATATGTCATGGCTACCCAAGCTAAGTATAAGTCGTTGGAGAACCTATCCAGTTACAATTACAATGCAATACGTCGTTGGAGAACCTATCCAGTTACAATTACAATGCAATACAATTCTTCTCTAATACAATACTCTTAATCACTTTGTTTGAGTGACAGTTTGTTTCATGTCTACTATCCAATGTGAAACTTCTCTATATGATTCAATTGAATATGATTTGGAACCAACTTCCTAAGTCATATTCGTATGCTTAGGACAAAGACTCCCAAATCATATCTCAGTGTATTCTCCCTCCACCACGGAACGTTAGAGATCCCTTGTTGTGCATTCATATGGCTACATGACTAGATAGCTTGACTCCAACAATGTTGTGGACACTCTCGATGGAATGCCTTTGACATGATCAAAGATCAAGGATCTAACCATTAGACATCTATGATGCCTCAGGTTAAATGACTACTTTGCATATTTCAACTTACGAGTTCTTACATGACATTTATGTTCAAACTCTCTTTTGATCGTAGTTCAGTGTACTCGATTACCATTTTGAGCACCTATGTGTTTGTCTCAGTGTCCAACACTAAATGACTTGAGACTAGTCATACTCATTAACATAACACATACTAACCTTAGCGGATTGTCAATGCCCATTTGGCAATCCTATGGCTAGGAATGTTTTAGGAATGAGTATAAGAGAAAGGTTTCATTAATCTAACTTACTTAGATCACTTCTCTCTTAGATTAAATACATTCCTTGGATTCCCTTATTGCTTAAACACATAATACAATAAATAGTGATTTACAATAAGCTTTGCCCTTCATTAAACATATAATAGTTTAACACAATAAGTATTCCAAAAGCTATTACATCAAATGAGTGGTTTTTTGGGCATACTTCCAACACCATTGGCCTTCCAAATAGGTATAATCTTGTTCTACACTTTCCTATCTTCATTGTGATATATTATGGGTCGAATTTGGTTAAAAAACGATTGAGTTACAAAGCTTTGAAAATTGCCCAAAATTTAGGTCAAGAGCTTCGGTACACTTAACGGAGTTTTTAACAGAAAGACCAAAATAATGGATGGTAGACAATCTCAGGGACCATTTCTATTGATTTTCAATCTCAAGGACCAAAGTGATGTGTTATGCAAATCTCAGAGACCATTTTAGCTAAAAAGTCTATTTGAAACATATGATCTATAGCAGGCTGGGTTATTTAGTGGTTGTTAGCACTTTGATTGGGAAGATCTGGATGAACTAGATAAACATACTTCAAATTGCGAAGAATATGTTACCACAATAGCTTTAAATTGTTTGGTTTATCAATTCGTAGGTGACATATGAGCTTCTTACTGTGTTTGCAGTGAACCTTCCATTAGTGATCGAGAATGAACTTAGGAGTTATAGAATATGAAGGCAACTAAATTATAGGAGGTGGTGGTTCACAACCATGATCAACAGATTGTTATGTCATAAAGAGATGGGTTATGGGTTGCAAGTGAACTATAAATGGAGAGGTCGAGTTTTGACTGTTGTGGAGGTAGATGATAGTTCTAACTCTCAAAGTAGGCAACTCAGTTGTAAATCTTATTTCATTTAGCCAAATCTGCATTAAGGAAAGATTAAACCGAAGATTAATCTGAGGCTTAGAAATAATTTTAGGATTCCCGAAAATTTGGTTTGGGATCGGTATTGAAATTAGGATTTCTGAAAACTTCAGTTTAGGAATCGAGACAAGGGTTTTGGTTCGGTATCATAGCGAACCAGCTCTAGCTGTGTCTCTATCTTTGTCTTTCTCACTCCTCTCTTTTTCTGTTGCTTTCCTTTTTCTTTGTATATTTTAGACGATAGGTAGGTCAATTTTTTAAATTGTATTATTTATTATTAACTAATAAAATACATTAATCAACACTTAAATAATAATTCAACCATCAACAATTATGTCATAGTTTTTATAGAATATGATTCAAAGAGATATTAATCCCAACATTACCTATTTTATTCCTTCTATTTTGTCTCTGAAAATGGCTAAAATTGAGAAATGCAATGGCATATGATTCTTCTATGCTTTTGTATAGTTTTTTTTTCTTAATATTAATTATATGAATCTGATGATTTTATAAAAGAGTTGATATCGAATTTGTCATTTACGAGATTCGAACTTAAGACTCATCACTTACAAGTGAAGAGAAATACTTTTAGACCGTAGTACTGAGTGGCTACTTATAAGTGTATCTAAATCTTGCAAATACCAAAACTAGAATATTTTATTTGTTTTATGTAACTTCCCACATCGCCCAGGGGAGTGGATCTTGTAAGCCTTATATGTATATTCCCATCTCTGCCTAGCACGAGGCTTTTTAGGAACTCACTGGCTTCGGATTCCATTGGAACTCCGAAGTTAAGCGAGTCGCGCTCGAGAGCAATCCCATGATGGGTGACCCACTAGGAAGTTCTCGTGTGAGTTCCCAGAAACAAAACCGTGAGAATGTGGTAGGGGCCCAAAGCGGACAATATCGTGCTATGGTGGCTTCGAGCCCGGGTTATGGTGGGAGCTCGGGCTGGGATGTGACATTTTATGAGTACTAATATGTTGTGTCGAGGAAAAAAATTTCTTAAGGGGGTAGGTTGTAACAACCCATCTCGAATAAATATATATTTTCTCCCTGAATGTGTGAAAATGATGAGTATGCCCTCGAGGCTTAGTGACGTGGATGTACGTATATAGTTTTAAATTATTTTTCTGACTTAATTAAATTGTACTCGACGTCACAAGTGCGTTGATGTGAGTTAGGGTCGAATCAGAGTCGTAACAAGGAAGTTATGATTAGTAATGCGCTTAAACGGGTAAGTTACGACCAATTATTTGGGCTCCTACCTCCTTGGGCCCAATCAGATTTTATTTTCTTTCTTCTTTCTGCCAATCCTGTAACCCACACACACACACGTGCAACCTTTTTCTCTCTTCTCTTCTTGAAAATTCCTTCTGTCTGTACAACCGAGAACACTTACCCTCAAACTAAACCAAAACTCTACAGATTGAGCTTGATGTTTCCAGATTCCTACT